TTTTTTTTTTTTTTTTTTTTTTTTTTTTTTTTTTTTTTTTTTTTTTTTTTTTTTTTTTTTTTTTTTTTTTTTAATGAGACGATGCTCCAATCTATTCGTGGGCTACTGCATGTTGCACACTGGTGCTTGAAGTACATCGAGCCCATGATCTGTTGGAATCGCCGGATTTCAGCGCGCAACCTACCCAAGTATGTACTGTATGCGAAGCGCCCATTGTTTTTGTTCTTGTTGGGGTTTCACCCCCCGGAATCGAAGAAAGTAAAGTGCAGTTGTTTTATTTTGTGGAAACTACGCGGGAGTCACAAAAATGAGTGAGCTATAATTGCACTACTATGGGCCAAGATACAGTTTCAAATTGCAGTTCGGGCAATGTATACAACCCGGCGTTCTGGCCAGGTGGGGTGCCCAAAGTGCAATTGCAAACCGTATCTTGCCCCATATTGCAATTATAACCCTCGTTTTTGTCACTCTACTGAAGTTACCTCTTTTTATTTTTCTTTACTGTTTTGAAGCTGAAGCTGGTTGAAACCGGGAGCTACGTGTACAGTCTATGTTTCCCCAGCATAGGGGTAGCACCGTTTTGGCTGGTGGTTTTAGGCTTTTCTTTTTATAGCCAGGCACTATAGAGCTAAGCAAGCGAGTAGCAGCTCCTCAAAAGTGAGGAGCGAGCTCATTCAAAATCCTTTTTTTGTCAGATTCTCGATGCTCGGTGAGACTTGAGGTGCGCTACTTCCAACACTGCTTGAAGAGAGACATAGCCAGTCACTCGGTGAGGACTTCCTGTTCACTGGATGGAGTTGGAATCAAGTGTTGGCTCCCTTGAAATAAATTCCATATTGCTATGGAGTTGCAATCAAGTGTGTGATCTCATCTCAAATTCTCAAGCCTGTAAGTGAGATTATGGATGGAAGTAGTTGAAATTTTTTGAAATTCATAACAGTGGTATTAGAGCTGGTGATGATCTTCATCCCAGAGACGTGATCGACTTGGATAGCTGCCATGTCAGCAAGATTGCAATATCATCCAAAGGCATGCCAACACACTGTCTTAATATCACCTATCACATGTCTACCTAATGTTATGCCTCATTTTGTGCCGTCAATTTTGAAGGGAGTGATATTGTGTGTCACGAGGTGGAAGCAAGGTTGACATTGGGGTTAAGTGGTGAGGAACCCCCAAGGTTATGACCGAGTGGTCGGGGGACATGGTCACAAGATTCACAGACCTAACGAAAAACCGTACATGTAGCAAACTTCGGTTGAAGTAGGTGGTACAATGCCCTGCATGTGGATTATGGTGGAGCAGTACCATGATCTTCAGGAGGAGTGTGTATGTGTTGTAAAATGGGAGGCGAAGTGATTGGCTCTATACAGAGTATGATCTTCAGGACCAGGTGCTTCGCCTCCCATTTTACAACACATACACACTCCTCCTGAAATACAGTACCTACCAGGAGACAAAGCTACGCAATGTCACCTACAAATATGATGGAGCTCAAGAAGCAGCTTATTGAGCTAACGGAGAGCGGTCGGATCAAGCTTAGAAAAAAAGAATCCATACACTGCTCCAGCTCCAATTTCGTTTGCTGCAAAGAAGGATGAACGAGTTCAAATGTGCATCGACTGTCACAATGGGATCATTGATCAGTATTACCATTAGTGGATATAAGATGACACCAAAACAAACAAAACAAACAAAACAAAACAAAACAAATACATATTTGATGCGTTATTATGACGACAATATCATTTGGTACAATCCTCTCACAGATGAGCATGAGCGATTGCTCTATTTAAAGCCA